TACGTACGTGCGTGCGTGTTTGTGTGTGTGCGTGTGGGGGCGCCAGATGGCGGCCGTGACTCAGCGGTAACTTATATATAGTTGATATTATCAAGAGCGTATAAAGAAGGGTATAAAGAGCGTATACCTTCTTTATCTGCTCTTGATATTATATTATATTAGTCGATTATGATAATAATACGTTGTCTTATACTTGATCGCATCGTTGTAATGGGATTATTCGTTAATGGCGAGTAGTTAATCATCCCTAGTACAATAGGTGGCGCATAAACGCGTGCATTCGCCTTTATTTTTTCGGTCGTGTAGCCTAATGGGGTTTAGTATAAATTACATTTGTGCTGCCTCCATTAGCGCCCTTCCCCGTCATCGCAGTTCACAAATGTAACAACTACCATCATTGGATGATTCCATTATGCGTGCTCGGTAGCGACATGACCGATTAGCATGATGTAATGCACGCGTGTATCTATTGTCGGCTCCGTTGAAACGTAATACATTCTACGTGTAATGGCGCCCTGACCCTTTTATCTTTTAAAACGCAGAAACGCTTAGTAACAGGTGGCGATATTCGATTGCTCGTGTTTTACGAGGTGGCATACATCCCCACAATTGAAGTAGCACAGCTGTTCTGCTAAATGATATTAAGAGTACATAAACCAATTACGTTCTAGAACACAATTTATGTGCTGATGAATCTATTAGCACGCCATGTGCGCCGTTGTTATATGCGATTATGACGCGTTCTAGAACGTAACACGCCATTCTAGAACGGCTGATGTATAACATATACTAGCAGGATACCCGGCGTTGCCCGGGAAATAAAGCACTCAGTCGGTGACCACTTGGTTGAAAGAAAAATACCCAAAAAATCNACCGCTGTAGCTTATGGCGCCCCTGACCCCTTTTATCTTTTTAAAACGCAGAAAACGCTTTAGTAACCATGGTGCCGATACCTCGTCGAATCTGCGCTCCCGTGTTCTACCGAAGGCCTGCGATACTATCCCCACAATGAAGTGCACAGCTGTTCTGCTAAATGATATTTAAGAGATACAATAAACCAATTCCACCCGTCCCTCAGAAACCACAATCTACACTCGCCCCCTGCTGACCTGAATCTATTCCCACTACCACGCCACCCCCCGCCCCCATGTGCGCCGCCCGTGTTTATACCTATCGCCGATTCATGACGCGTTCTCTCAGACACACGTAACCACGCCCCATTCTAGCACACCCCCGGCCTGATCCCCCGTCATACACACCTCATCACCTAGCCCGAGATCACCCGCTGCCGCCGCTGAAATATACCGCACCTCGCAGGTCGTGGACCACTTGTCTTGACCAAGAAAAATCATCACCCGCCCTAAAAAAATTCGTCAATTCTACTGTCTATCTATTCCTAGCTATCCTTACCTCGCTATCTATTTCGTCATTATCTTCTATCTATCTATCTATCTACCTCTAATTCTATTCCTATCTCCTATCGACTCTTATCTATCTACTCTACTCCACTGCTATTCCTATCTATCCTATCTATTCATCCTATGCTAATCTATACTATCTCTATTCGATATCGCATTCCCATACTATCCTATGCTATCTATCCTATCTCTCTCATCTATCTATCACATCTAATCTATCTATCTATCTAATCTATCTATCTAACTATCTTATTCTACCCTTCTATACTCCCTCTTATACTTCCTCTATCTATCTATCTAATCTATCTATTCTCCTCTTATCTATCATCCTATCCTATCTATCCCCCTAAGTATACCTAATACCTAATCTATTATCTATGTACCTATCAGTCCTATCTATTTATCTATTTATCTCTTGTACTTATCTTCATCTTCCATATACATTCACAAATCATTTATTCATAGCAAGTACACTCACAATTATTATCGATCAATTCAGGAGTCATATTCAATAGCCAGTAATGACACCGATCTGAAACCGGCAAAAATCTCAACATTTCAATTTGCCCTCCTAGTTCTACCCCCCCCTATATGATTTATTGTGTTTAACTCGATACACTTGAGCTACCTAACATCTTACCTCCTTAATCATCCCCCTATACTAAATGCCCGTGTCTAACTGTTTGTGTTCCTCACAAAAATGACAATCTGGCGAGCTCTCTGTCCCCACCAACGTACAACTTCGTGGTTTTGAAAGTTTATTAACCGCATTTCTCAACAACGACTGCAACGAAACACAAAGCCAATGCTTTTGAAAGCCGCTCGCTTACTCCGTCTTCATGCAATGCCCAAACATAGCAAACAACTAGCGAGGTTTGCCAGGATTTCGAAAGTAAACACGACCTCTGTCTGTTTATTTTATTCCCGGCCACTTGCTCGAATGACAGTAATTCATGTTACTGTAACATATCTTTTTAATCCCTCCCAATATACATAAATGGCTAAAAATACTTACATCATTGAAATTTTTATTTCCCTCCCAATGTCCAATAGACAATCACACCGTTACAGTCGGTTTAACTTCCTCCGAAATCCCTACTAAACCTCTCGCTCATGTTGTTTGCGCTTATGTTTTGCCTCTGCCTAAGCCCGATTAGAGAGCTTTCAAAAGCTTGCCATCCTTATTTTCGGTCACCGAGTTTGTTGAAAATCTGCGTAAGAACTTTTCACAACCCCACATTTCCCTCTTGTTACGTTTGGACCGATCTGCTCCGGATTTGTCATTTTGTGAGACCACGATTAGACACGGCATTAGTTTAAACTTAAGGTAAGATTGAGCCTCACAGTTTATCGCAGTTACAACACAATAAATCACTTGTCGACTCTTCTAGGCGAACTAACAATGTTGAATTTTGCCGGTTTCAGTCTGTCTTACTCCTATTGATAGACTCCTGTTATAATCGCATGAATACATGATTCACTATCAAACCCTATGTTTAGTTGGGCTATTTAAATTGCGGTGGCACCATTCGTCCGAATGCTTTGACCCATTATAAACGACCCGTGAGATCTTCTCCAACACACGCAACATCAACCCTCCGTCAAAATAAACACTTGTAAATACATCCCTTTACATTAAAATAACAAAATCTGTGGCGTTTTCCGTACCATCATTGCATAAAGCCCAACTTGTCCGGATGGCCGCCCCCCCCACCCCGACGGGCATGATGATATACGCTCGTGTAAGCAACAACGTGCCTCTGAACCACTCGTTTAATTTGTTTTACAGGCCTGTTCGAAATTCCATGTCACCACTACATCAGCCGTCATGCTTCAAACGACTAATGCACACATTTATATCTAAACACGACGCAGCCGTTTTCGGCAAAAAAATAATTAATGAGGGCGTAACTCCATACATGCTTCATGTGATTATTGTAGTTGCTGGCTGCCCCGATAGAGCTTACTTGTGGTAAGGTAAATCAGCTTGGATGACGCCACGGATAAGTGCCATTTTTGTGCTTCGCTACATACCTATATAATACTTTCTGATGCTCTCTAGCTACAATCGATAAATCTGTGAATACTAGGCCGTTGTTTGAACTCGACCGTAAGCCTCTCTCGTCAACTCCATGAACCGTTAGCAAGACAGAATTGGCAATAGGCCTGCAGGCATTCTCGGTGTATATTCCACGCGCTAGAAACCCACGAGCGCAATGACGTCATTTCGATGTCACATACTCGCGAGCGCTTCATTCTAATATATCATATCCTCAGTTGGATAAAAAACAGATGTCGATTATTATTAGTGTCATTGACCATATATTGATCGTATAATTTATTCTATTCATTATATTTCATTGATTATATTCATCGATATGTTATTATTAGAGTGCTCATCATTATACTGTTTTTCCCATTAAAATAGTTGTCTTATTATATGTCATGATTACCTAATATGGCTTATATATAACACTTTTTATTATTATATTTATATTATATGTTATATATATGTTATTATTATATGTTATATTCATAGTTGTTATTATATATGTTATTATGAATTATTTTCTATATGATATTTATTATATATGTTATTGATTAATTATATGTCATATTATATGTTATTATATGTTATTATTATATGTCATATTATATGTCAAGATTTGTCATTATTAACCCCTGATAATATCAATAATAGATTATTTGATATTATAAATACATGTATATAGGGCCTATATATATATTATTTAATTTGCGCGACCGTTAAATTTTAATGAAAATCGTGTATTATATATATATTATCAGGAGTAAGATAATATAGGAGGAGTATGACACTCCAAAACACGAGAAATTCAACATTTGCTTGCCTAATTTTACCGATGATATATTACGTGCAACTCGATAAAAATTACATCTAGATTAGCGTTTGACATCCACCTCACACTCAAACTTTACTTTGTTTCCATGCCTCTTCTTTTTATGGAGATATAGCTTTGAACGTCACACATGGTTCATAGCGTTTTACTATGCTGGGGGCTCAGCTTCCCTGAGGTTTCAAACAGTTGCTATCCCTGTGAGGAATGGTCTCTTGTCTGTTTAAATAATGCCACCTGTTGGCGACAGGAGTAAGATAATATAGGATATTATATAATATAGTATATATGTGTGTATATATATAGTGTGTATATATGTGTGTGTATATATAGGATAATATATATAGTGTGTATGATATAATATAGGATATAATATTATGATCCTATATTATCTTACTCCTGCCGCCAACGGGTGGCATTCTATATACGATATATACGATATATACCATGCTGCAGGTACCTGGCCATCAGCAGACCCATGAGCTATCACAAGTGGAACACCAAGAGATGCGCCGCCATGATGATCACGTGCGTCTGGGTGCTGGCGACCGTCATCTGCATCACGCCGCTGTTCGGCTTCGGTGTGCGCGAGCAGGGCATCCGCAACCAGTGCCTGCTGACGGGCGGCGTCGGTTACGTCATCTTCTCGGCGGCCGGCTCGTTCTTCGTGCCGCTGTGCGGCATCTTGTTCATGTACTATCGCATCTACGTGCTCGCCGGCTACCACACGCGCCGCATACGCAACGAGCGCAAGTACATGAAGGAGATCTCGAGCTACTACAGCGCGCAGGAGACGCTCGGCGTGCCCGGGACGCCACGTGCGCAGACGAACGGCGGCGCGCAGAGGTCAAGAGGGAGCCCGCACGTCGGCGACGCGCATCGTAAAAGTCGCGCGACGTTCAGAGAGTCGCGGACGAATCGCTTAACGGCTCCCGTGCGCATCCGCGTAACGAGCGAAGCGAACGCGCCCGCCGAATTCCCGACGACGGACGACAACAGTTCGGACGAGTCCGGCAAACACAAGAGCAGCGAGATCGCGCGCCGCGTCGCGCACGTCAAGAACAGCATCCGACACTTCAGCAAGGAGAAGCGCGCCGCGAAGACGCTGGCTATCGTCGTCGGCTGTTTCGTCGTCTGCTGGCTGCCGTTCTTCACCGTCTACATCGTCGAGGGCGTCTGCGCGTCGTGCCGTGTGCCGACGCTCGCGTTCAAGTTCGTCTTCTGGCTCGGCTACGTCAACTCGTGTCTGAACCCGGTCATCTACCCGTGCTCGAACCGCGAGTTCCGACGCGCCTTCAAGAAGCTGTTGAAGCGCGTCGGCCGCAAGCTGGTCGAGACGAAGCAGGACTACTACTACTGGTACGTGAATTCGACGCCGTCGCCGTTGCCGCGCGACAAGCGCTGCCGGACGGCGGGCGCGGGAATTAACAACGTCGGCTCGACGCGCCGGAATTACGTATGTGGGGATCGGCGCGTGCTAGTGGCGCCGCTCACGAGGAGCGTGTCTTTCCAGACGCTCAGCGCGACGGCGCCGCTACAGGCGTATCTGAGCGTCGCGACGAGCGCCAGGCTGCATCTAAGCCACGCCGACTTCCTCACCACGTCGTTCACGTCGCCTCCGCCTCGGGCCGACGCGGCGCCGACAGCGACCGAGTACGCAGCGCCAATCACGCGCAGTTGTTCGCAGCTCGTTGTGCGACAGGTGGTCGCCGACGGTGACCTAAATATCGCGAGGACAAACACTGCTGATCGACGGCAGGAAGACGTCGAATTAGCTGACGACGATACAGTCGTTAGAGAAGGCACGGCGCAATGTCAGCGACGTTCGTCCGGCCGTGCATTCTATTCGCGTGAAACTAACGTGACATCGAGACTCTGAGGGGAATTAGCTGGCCTCCGTTATCAGTGCATTTAGATTGCATCGAAGTCATCGCATGCACGCCTGGCCATCGGATGTACATATGGTTTATCGCGTGTAGATAATAATATGTATGTAGATGCATATACGCCAAGTTATTACGCCATGTCGATAGTCGGTTAGCGAATACGGATAGCAAGTAATCGCTCACGCCGCTTATGTTAGCTACGCTGGTAATTTTTTTCGTAAGTAAAATTCGTCATTATTTATCAGCGCAAGCAGTGATTCCATCAGAGTCCGTAAAAACGCCTGCAATGATTATCGAATAAACTACGCATGAAAAAATCATTCAAAGAAAATACGTTTGCGCATTTTCTAATTTGCATGTTGCATTATGTTAAAATCTAGCATAAATAATTTTCGCAACTTAACGTAATAAACTTCCCGTATACGTACATATACAGTGTATCGGTGTATCAGAACCTGCACGCGAGTTTCCTCGCAGTGAGCATTGCCCGATGGAAGACCGCACTAGTACGATAATTGCGTGTGTCCGCGGGAGCTTGCCGCGGTACACAGTAGCGGGGTTTTCATTGCTAATCAGCGGCGCGCGATCTGTCGGCAGTCATCGGAGCTGACATCAGTAATAACGCTTCCGCGTAATTGTGCTTGCGTCGCACACCCCGCCATCTCAAAGAAAAATCTCGATTATTCATGCGCGCGCGCTTATTCTATATGAAATCTGTGCGAATGTGGAATCGCGGGGAGAGCGAGGGAATCCGTAGGACGTTACTCCGAGATGCTTCCATAGGCGAGGGGGATACAGGGTTGAACGCGCATCTAAATCTTCCCCGTACAAGTATCGACGTAGTTCTAAGCGCTGATGAACGCTAATTAATTCATGGCACACGCCATTACCGTAAAGCCCTGTTCGCGCGACTAAAACTAAAGCGAGTTTAATGATTCCTGATCACCCGTGTGAACAAAACGGGTAATGACCGGGTGTCATTTAACACGGATAATTTGACACCTACTCACGAAATAATTTAATAAAACAATCAACGCGTCGTGGCAAGTCCGACGATGTAAGCACAAAGTAGTTTCGGCGAAATATTGGATGTAGGTATACGACTGGAAAATCTGACTACGCCGAAAGCGCCATTCCTTCTCTCTCTCTCTCTCTCTCTCTCTCTCTCTCTCTCTCTCTCTCTCTCTCTCTCTCTTTCTGTTTCTCTTCCTCTCTCCCTCCCTCCCTCTCTCTCTCTCTCTCCATCTTTCGCTCTCTCTATCTATCCCTCTCTCTATCTCTCTTTTGCTTTATCAGTCTCTCTATCGGTCACGCTATCTATCTCCCCATCTCTCTCTTTTGTCGAGCAGTGTCGAGGTGTGTGCGTTCGGTGTAAACGATTAGCTTTATCATGAATATGTGAACGTCCGTAGCAGGAAAAGCTAATCCTCCTGACCCCTCATGTCGGTAACCCCTGCATGTCACATAGAGCGAAAACAATCACGTTAAATTTACATCGTGTTACGAGGACGACATCTAACTCATGCCGCCTGCCAGAGTAACGTGCCAGCTAATTATACTGAACCGCGACGACTTCACGATCAGCGTGGGATTGGGTTGGAGATTTGTTAGTTCCACTAATTACGCCTATAGCTACGATGCCAACCGTGCATGCCTGCACGCATGCACGCGATCCGGGAATTAGATGAACATATATCGCGCTCCCCCTCACCTCATCGATCGTAAACTTCTACACAAAATTAAACATTTGCGTTATCTACGAAATTTTCTGTTTGCTGCGGCATTCAGAATCGGATTCATCAAAAATGTTGATGAATGCAGGCGCGTGTGTTGCGGTCTCATCGCGCTGACCAGCTACCAGCGCAATTTCCCCCGGTTTTGCTACATTCGACGTTCGAGATGAATTACTGTATACGCACGCGTGTCACTGCGTACGTAACACTCAGACAAGCTCGCATATATACTCCTCGCCCCGCGAAATTGAAACGGGAACACGAGTTTGACACCGACTGTAAGCGTCGATGATGCTTACACTGAACTACTCTTGCTGCTATATGCGTGCGTGTGGGTGAGAGGGAGGGAGGTATGTAGCGGAGACGCAGGAATGAGGGCGGCTGCGAGATCTCACGCTAAACGTCAACACAGCCGCGTGCTGTTGCTCCCGCCGCGCGCGACTGACTGACTAACTATCAGTGGCGCATCAGCGGCGCTGTTAGCGCGTCTGCGTTTGCTGCGGTCCGATTTCCCCGCGGCGCACGCAGTCAGTCAGCGACGACCACTCAGACGCAGTCGCTACGGCGTCGACGACGGGCTGTGCTTACGGCCTGCCCGTATAGCTAGACACGGACATGCGAGACGATATATTATGAAGAAATATAACGACCGAAAATTCAAACGTAAACAACTGTGGTATGGAGAGTAGATCTCACAGTTCGTGACCGCGAGAGTGACGAAGGTTGTAACTTGACACCGGCTTACGCGCACGTTCGTGTTCGCGGTGGCGTTTTGTTTGTCTTCGTGTGTTGCCGGACACCGTGAGCGGATGACGTGCGCGCGCTTGCAGGAATTTGCGCGAATAGGGTGTGCCTGACAGACGACTTCTTCACACGCGATAATCTATCACCCGGTCAGAGACAGGTTAGCTGTGAGTTGTTGTCGGAGTAAGCAAAACGCACCCTGGTGAGTCGCATGTGTACCCGACTTCGCCTCCAACTATACTCACAGGCCGTATACACTCCCAGTGGTTAGCGCTAGTCGTTGGCCGTGGTAGGACTGTGGCGGTGCGAGTGGTGAGCAAAGGTTGCATGGTGAGAGCCAGTGTTGAAGTTAGACCAATGTCGAGGTAACGGACAGCGAGACGGTGTGAAATTGATGGCGGTGGATTAAGACTCTCCTAGTCTATAGACTGAGTATAGGCTAAAATGGTTTACTCGCTATCGCACCCTGCAGGCTGTACACTATACTAGAGCATGAGGTCTCTAGTCCCATTATAGTCTATAGTTTATATCCTATAGGCTGTCGTCATGGCGACGTCTGTGCTGAATATCTCGCGCGCCGTCAACGCGTCATTCTCTCTCGGCACACTTAGCGCCGATCTGAACGCGTCGTCTTCGTCAACCGAAAATGCCTCGGCGACGTCGGTCGCGTCGTCGGCGGTCGACACGTCGTACGGCGTCGTCGCCACGACCGTGCTCGTCATCGCGTTCAGCGTCATCATCCTCGCCATCGTCGTCGGCAACTGCGTCGTCATTGTCGCCGTCGTCTGCGAGACGAGTCTGCGCTGCGTCACGAACTACTACATCGTGTCGCTGTCGGTCGCCGACCTGCTCGTCGGCATCGTCGTGCTGCCGTTCTCGGCGACGTACGAGATTCTCGGCGACTGGGTGTTCGGCAGCGCGCTGTGCGTGTTCTGGACGGCGTTCGACGTGCTTGTGTGCACGGCGTCCATCTGCAATCTGGTCGTCATCAGCCTGGACAGGTGTGTGA